ACATAAGCGAGCCGAAGCAAGCAAGAGCCATAGTATCGACCGAGAAGGCGTTATAACCGGGTATACGATATAAACAAGGAAAACGAATCCTCGCTAACATTATATAAAAGATATTTAAAGCAAACCAAGCCCTATAAGAAGAAAGAAAAAAGAAACCTATGATAGAAGAAGAACGAATAAAGAATATACCGCTAGAATACCGAAAGTATAGTAGGTTATTTAAGGAAACCCTCGAAACGGGTATTCCGCAATATAGTTAGTAGGATCACGAAATCTATCTTAAAACTAGAACCTCGACCAAGTTCCACAAACTCTACAACCTTAACGAGAAGTAACTTAAAATATTACGAGAATATATCGACGAAATGCTTAAGAAAGGCTATATTCGAACCTCCACCTCGGAAGTAAGATATCCCGTTATATTCGTGCTAAAAAAGAATAGGAAGCTACGACTAGTCGTGGACTATCGGCAGCTTAACGATATTACGATTAAAGATAGGACACCCCTGCCGCTTATTAACGAACTTAAGGACAGACTTCACGGTAAGAACTAGTTCACCGCTCTTAACCTAAAAGGAGCCTACAACCTAATCCGTATAAAGAAGGGAGACGAATAGAAGATAGCTTTTCGCACTAAGTTCGGTCTATTCGAGTATTTAGTAATACTATTTAGCCTCACCAATGCTCTAGCTACTTTCTAGCGAATAATTAACAACGTACTTAGGGAGTACCTAGATATCTTCGTTATAGTATACCTAGACGATATTCTAATCTTCTCGGAAAACCTTAAAGAACATAAGAAATACGTCTACTAGGTACTAAAAACACTTTAAGATACGAACCTCTTAGTTAACCTAGAAAAGAGCGTATTTCATATATAAGAAACCGTCTTCCTCGGACATACGATCCGACCAAACGAAATCCTAATAGAATAAACAAAGATTAATATAGTCAAAGAATAGCCTATGCTAATAACGCTTAAGGGAGTATAAGCGTTCGTGGGATTTACGAACTATTATCGACGCTTTATACGCGACTTTGCGAAAATCGTAGTATTACTCACGGGGCTTACTAAGGGAAAGGGAGAATTTAAGTAGGAAACGGAGTAATAAAGGGTATTCGAAGGATTGCGAGATACTATACTATTAAATACAGTACTTATAACCTACGACCCCGAAAGACTACTCGAATTAGAAATAGACGTATCGGACTACGCTATAAGAGCATAAATTAGTTAACGAGACGACAATAGTAACGTACGACTAATTGCATTCTTCTCGAAGAAACTCCACGGCGCGGAACTAAACTACCCTATTTACGACAAGGAATTCCTAGCAATTATCGTAGCTATTAAGGAATTTAAGTATTATATACTAGGGATAAAGTTTACTACTAAAGTTTATACCGATCACTAAAATATCTCCTACTTCGCGATAACACAAGAACTCAGCGCACGATAAACAAGATACGCCGAATTCTTAGCCGATTACGATATTAAAATTATCTATCGGAAAGGTTCGGAGAATAGCAGAGTAGATATACTTAGCCGCCGACTAGACTACGATACCGAAGTACTAAAAGCCAAGGGCTAGATACTTCGACAAAATAACAAAGGAAACTACATATAAATAGTACTTAACCTTCTTATATTTAGAGTGGAAGTAGATACTATATACTACGATAAAATATTAGAATAGGTATTAAAATATGAAAAAGAAATACCTAACGACTGCGCGATAGAAACAGGAAAAGGACCCACTAGGAATAGACTACTCTAGATACTACCGCCGCTACGCGATAAAATCTTAATTAATATTTATGCGCATCCCACGGTAGGATATCAAGGAGTTAGAAAGACTCTTAAACGAATACGACGAACGTACGACTACCAAGGAATTAAGGCAGACGTCGCATGTATTATCGGACAATATGAAGATTATGCGCGCAGCAAGGCTGCACGGCATAAGCTATACGGAGAATTAAAGCCACTACTAGTGCCTTCAAAGCCATAGGAATCGATAGCCTTCGATTATATTACGAAGCTACCTAAATCTAAGGAACCAGGATCTAACGTCGAATACGACAGTATATTCGTTATCACGGACCGGATAAGCAAATTCGGATATTTCCTACTATACTAAGAAGCAACGGATGTAGAAACACTCGCATATACAATACTTAAATATATCGTGGCCAACTACGGCCTTCCGGAAGAAATTATTTCGGATCGAGGAACGATATTTACCTCGAAGTTTTAGCAAGTATTAATAGCTTAGCTTAGGACCAAACACAAGCTTAGCATAGCTTACTACCCATAAACGGATAGATAGACAGAAAGATTAAATTAGATATTGGAATAGTACTTACGGTGCTATATTAACTATAAGCAAGACGATTAGGTCTCGAAGTTACTACTCGCCTAACTCGCCTATAATAGCGCACCTACGGAATCAACTAAAATCTCACCATTCTACGCGAACTACGGATACGAACCCGAGTTCGGCAATAAAACACTAAGGGATAGACCTCTTGCTAAAAAAGCTATGCTTAAAGCAGATTAATTACGCTCACTATATAAATACATAAAGAAATAGCTCGAATTCGTACGTATACGAATGTCGAAGTACTATAATTAGAAAAGATCGAAGGGACCGATCTTTCGGAGGGGAGATATAGTCTACCTACTACGCAAAAATTTTATAATAACTCGACCTTTACCGAAGCTCGATCATAAAAAACTTAGACTATTCAAAATTAACGAAGTTATCTTAGACACTAACTATAAACTTTTACTACCCTTAAGTATGAAGATACACCTAGTTTTTCACATTTCACTACTTAAAAAGGCACCGCAAAACGCAAAAACAAACTACGAACTAGAAGTTCTCGAAGAACTCTACGAACTAGAACGGATCGTCGATAAACAAACAATAGACGGAGAAGTCAAATACCTTATTAAATAGAAAGGCTACGTAAGTAACGAAAATACATAGGAACCCGCTAAGCACCTTAAGAACTACCGCCCCCTGTTACGATAGTATTATCAAAGGTAAATATATCGGGCATTGCGGACTAATCGATGATCCTAAAGGCCCCTAACTCTTGAGCACGACTAACCACTTGCTGCTCCTTAAGGATGGCCTCCTCCTAGGAACGAATACTATCCTCCTTATCAAGATCCCTCATACCGCGCGCCACGAGCTTAGAAGTACGCTTGCGCAAGGAGTCACGCTAGCGCTATAACCGAGCCCGACGAGCCAATAACTCCTGCAATTCCTTATCGGACTTTTCTAAATCCGCCTCCACTTTCTTTTATTCTCCGACAACACGTGTTACTACGCACGGTTAGCACGCATACACCACGTAAACGAAGCAAGAACACACGATGCGACGCCATACTATTACTATCACAGACCTTCCGCGCACCAATGCACGCGATGCAACGACGAGAATCGTCGCTTATGCGACAAACGCGCTTCGCACGGTAGTAACGGGTGCAGGGCATCTTGCTATCGTCTCCGTTAAAATGAACGGCCTCGATCAACGCGGCGCGACAAGAATCGTTGATTTCTTTATAAGTAGTACGGCGTTTCTGCACACGGTCAGGCATGATAGAAGGAAGAAGTTGCCGAGCACGACTTACGAAGGACGACTAACGGGTTTTGATTAATTCTAGGACAGAATCTCGGAAGGGGAGACATCATATTACGACCCGGCATGCGACCGCATGCGCCTCTCACGTGCCCCCCTACTTTTTCCGCCTATTATACGACACCCGCACACCACGCATAGTAGACGACTATAGGCGACTAGCGACTACAGTCGACTATACTATAAAGGCGCTCGTAAACAACAGTCGACTATCGTCGACTACATAACATTCACTTAGTATATAGGAAGCCTAGCTTCACTATAGTCAGTCTCTACCCAGCTCCTTAGCTATTAATATAATTGTCTACGTAAGATCCATTATCTCGCACATAGACTATGACCCGACCGCTCAAGTCAACGACATCCTAGTATACTTAGTTCAAACCCGACTTCTATTCTATCTACCCGGTAGCTAGTCTAGACCCGAACGTCACATATTGTTATTAGCTAAATACTTCTCTTCTTTTTTAGAAAATATAGACTCCTCCTTATCGCTAAGCGAAGAAGAGGAGTCCTAGTTATCTATACTCGTGACTTTTTTAGAGGAGCTCTTAAATAGCGTGGGTTAGCTAAATATAATAAGAAAGTAAAAATAGTACGACTTATCTTAGTATAAAGTTAAAGAGTCTGTGAGCGTAGTTAAAGTACGAGCACGGTACTTTATAGGTAAGCATAGGAGTTATTTTTAAGCGCTTAGGCAGTAGATATAACGGGGTATTAAGCGAAGAAGGCTTATGAGATTAATCGAGGCGGGTTAGGCCCACTGCCTGCGATAGTACGTTGCTCGGTACGGGCGGGTACCTGAGCGAGGCGTAAAGACCACGTCCTAGGCGAGAACGCTTAAAGTAGCGCTAGATTCGTGGCTTGCGCGCCACCGGGTTCGGTGGCTAAACCTACTATTTCCGGCGGTCTAGAAGCCGTCTTATTTTTTTAGTTAGTTATTATTTTCTCTTTAAATATATTTTTATTTTATAAATTACTTTAGATTTACTAAATTATTGAACTATTAATTATTACTACCCTTTAAACTAATCGTTATTTTAACTATATTATACTAGCGTTAACTTATTTCCTATATAAAATTAGTCGTTACTAAGGCTAGCGACGTAATAAATAGGTATTAGGGATTAATAAGTTCGCTCTTTTTACGAATTTCTCGGTACGCAGGCGGGTAATTAGTCTTAAAATAATAGATTAGCTTCAGTAATTCCTAGGACAGACGTCGGTAGTGGAACTAAATTAAGAAGGATAATAAAGACGCAGATTTACCTAGGCGCATGTAGATTATATCTGCGAGCCGTCTTCTAAGGTAATCCCGAATTAAAGCATTAGCAAGTGTGGCGAATATACTGTGATACATAAGACGCTAAAGTACTCTCCTAATATTCCCAGCCTAATATAATTATTTAAAGACAGGCATTTCTCCTTCTTCTTAAGACCTGTAATCCCTGAAGCCACACTTCTTTAATAGAGGACCAGGTCCTCCTCCCTCCAGCCAGAAGGCGCACAAGTAGTCAAGGTAAGATAACCCAAATAGACAAGCTAAGCTTATCCTAGACTTAGCCCCCGCCTCCTAAAAGCCCTACACGGTACCGTCAGCAACCGCATTAGACGGCGAGCCTGCGTTGATGTTGGAATTTCGAAATTCGCCAGAACCACGGAATTCGCTGAAGTCCAGACTCAATCGATGCCAGTCCCACCGGCGCGATATAACTAGCAGAACGAAGCAGAAGCCCAGCATCAAGATGTCCAGGACGCCTATGAAGATGAAGCTAGCAGTGACGCCAATAAGGTTTCCCCCGTCGCTGAGACCAAAAGCAACAGGGTAGAGTAGCCAAAGGAAGCTTGCCCACGATGCCAGGATGGCATAGTCCCGCCCAATTCCAATCCTCTGTGCCTCCTCGCGGCACTCGTTAATAGTACTGAGAACGAGAATAATAAGGGCGAATGTGCCAAACACGAAAAACCCCCACTTATAGTCCGTCGGGGTGTATGCTGCGATCAGGTATGTAGCTACCCAGATCCACGTGATGGCTATGTTGCAGAGAATAGTATTCCAGGAGATACCAGAGAGAAGGCCAAGAGCCAATGAAGTGGACGGGAAAGAGACAGCCCAGTAGATGTATTTTGCGTAGAACATCTGTCGCATAACACCATTATCGAGGTTGTCGGCCTGCTGCACAATACTCCATCCAAAGTTGGCGGCTTGTGCGTAGTAGGTGATGGCACCAACAAGAAGCGAAACGGTGAAGAGGTAGTGGAAAACTCTCTTGCTTTCGTGGACTGTGAAACAGAGAGTTGTCATACTGAGCTATAGGAATGTTATCAGTTTAAGCCCTAATGCGTAAAGACAGAGTGTAATGGCATACAAATGCGACAATGTGAATGGCTGTAACAGCCCACAGCCAATCTGACCCGTTCACAGAGAATACCTCGTCTGCGTCGGGTAACGGATTGACATCGAGAACGCTGTTTCCGTGACTAGAAAGCGACATTCTTGCTGCGTATAGAAATTGTAACAGCGCTCAACTTCTAAGCGATGAAGAAGAGAAATAAGAACGCACTGAGGATGAGGAACTTGTCGGAGAAGGCTGGGAAACACGACCGCCTATGCTTGATATAATTGTGAGCTATACTGTCTTTTATAGATGCAATATTAAATCCTGCAAGGGTCTTCATACTAATTGAAATCTGGCTTCTGAATTAAAAATCATGGCATTGTCTGCCCCCTCACCTGCTTTGCTTTATAAGTAGAAATAGAAGCGGATGTATAATTGCTTCCGCTGTCGGCTAAAAGTCGCCCCAGCTAATAAGCCCCGCTGTGTAAGCAAGGAAGCTCCGCCCTTAGTGTGGGTCTAGTGACCAGTTTAACGGGCGGATATAAATATATATCCGGTGCTGACGACGACGGTCTGTCTGTTTGTCACTACAGCTTCCACGCGGCTATCCTTTCAACCTCGGCCTGTTACCACTTCCCCACTGCTAGCGAAAAGGCGAATCGGGGCAGCGGGTGACTACCAAGCGAAACTCCTCTGCGGCGACTCTTATTTCCTATATCCGTACTGCTGCAATTGCTGGAAGAATGGAACAATCAGCTGATCCGCCCAAGTCGGGACGGACTTTCTTGGTGTGCTATTTCACAAGCCATCCAGTCTTCGATGTACCTAGACGCTAATAATCAATAGGCATGCATTCGGTGCAGAGCGCGAAAGGCCCGATGTGATGGTGGGACACCTGAGTGCTCGTCCTGCAAGACGAACGGTGTCAATTGCAACTACCCAGCTACCCGCAAGACCCGTGGACCGGCAAAGAAGTAAGTCTACCTATCTTAAGATCATCTTTATTATCCTAACAGTATCAGAAAGAGGGCATTTGAGGGCGTTCAAGAGACATCCCAAGAGACCGGTGATTTAGTCCCTGCAGAGGTGATTAATGAACGGCCAATGCTACCAGAAAGCGCGACAGTACTACATGGCAACCCAAGGGCACCTGTGCCAATCTTCACTGGCTTCTTGCATCCTGATGTGTACGACAAGAACTTCAAATATCTAAAGGAGCGTATTAGTGACGATGCCACTGGACACCGGCCCACGCCTCTATTTCCTATCCTGATATCAAAACGGCTGACGGCAAACGCCTTCGACGACGTGATGTCAGAGTATCAGATCATTGATAAGCCGAAGTTCGTTGCCCTCCTTGAAGCGCAATACGCTCTAAGCCTTGTCGACCACGCTGGCGACCCCGCAAGATGGGCGATGGTGAACGCTATCCTCGCCCTTGCATTACGGGTTAAAATAGCCCCTGGCTCGGAACAAACACTTAGAGCATTCCCGTGCAGCTTCTATCGAAATGCGGTGGCTGTTCTACCTGAACTCATCTTACAGAGATCAAATTTGCTCGCAGTACAAGCACTCCAAGCAATGGCTGTCTATGCACGGGAAACACAGGATTATCAGGCCTTCGCTATGCTAGCTAGCAATGCTTTACACTTACTAGAGCTTCTAGGACCCTTGCACCTATCATCCCACCAGGGGCTAAATGAGGAGGATAGAAGGCAGTATGCGAATGCATATGTCATTACACAGGTATTCAAGAAGGTAACGAATGCGCGTTAGGCTTCAAGCACATCTCAGAACTAGCCGGAATAGCTCGTCCTCTCTAGTAACAAAATAAGTAGTTTCTATGGCTTCTGCAAAGCTACAAGGGTGAAATGGTGTATATGGTCTCGTGCTACATCGGGTACAAAGTTAACTTTAACTTATTCTATCATAGATTTAACGGTTCTAGACTCAACTAGTAGAACATTAATAAGTATTACAGTTATAAAAGACTATGCACCGGTTGCTGGTATTTATAATATAGAAACAACGTATATAAGCGAATATATTATACCACGTTTAATACCCTTCTACCTAATTCAAAACAAACACGAAGCTAGATCGATTATTAGATGATATCTCAAGTATGAATACTGATAATTGTTGCTTGCTTTCTGCTGCCTACTCCTCCCTAGCCTTGAGCATAGTTTGCGTATAGTCAGAGCCCACCTTAAACCACCAGCCCGACAGCAAGATAGTGAGCCCTCCAACAACGACACAAGTGTAGTTCATGTTCTCCGGTGTGACGGGCTTAACGTAGGGAAATGAGAAGAATGTGATGGCAAACGCCAGCCAGCAGACAGTGACGGTGTTAACGATTGGCCCAATGGTGCTGCCCATATGAAAGACGCCTCGATACATGTTGCGGCGGCCGGTGAGCAGGTTCGTCAGAATAGGGACCATGTAGGACATGTTGTTGATCGTCACGGCGGTCCCAAGCAGTGAGTTGAAGGCAGTGGATGATCCGAGGTAGAGACACCCGAGAAGCCCGACGATGGTGGTCACTGCGATGTGCGAGTTTAGCGGTATCTGGAAGCGAGGGCTCACTTCGGACCAGCTAGTTGAAGCGTCAGTACGAACCTGCCACCAAGCAGTCAGAAGAATAATGCTCACATCTTAGAGAATGGCATGGCGCCATCGCGAGAGAAAGCCCAGAACACGCGGCCTGTGCTCAGCTGTGAGCTAACAACGCAGGGCCCCAGAGCGATGAAAAGGATAAAAGTCAGCCCAAAAGCCCCTCCTGCATGCTGCGTCACTTGGCGAAAGAGCTCGGCGAGTGGCAAGCCAGTGTTGTTCCCGGTGAGGCCGTCAAAGTCCTGGATGGAGAACATGAGGGTGATGAGGTAGGTCAGGCCCGTGCAGAAAGCGATGCTCAGGGTGATGGCAATGGCCAGAGGCGCATTGCGGGATGGCTGTGAAACTGTCAATCACTATTCTAATTGCGCTGTTCCAGCCTGGGACAAGGTGCCGCGACTTACGTTGGGCATCTCCTCGGTGATGTGGGTGACACCATCGAGACCGCCAAGACTGTATAGAGGGTTAACGAGGCCAGTGATGAAGCAAATGACCTGGTTCTCCCAGCCGGTGTTGTTGATCCACGTTCTGAAGACAAACTCGGTGCTTCGGTGCGAAGGGGCGCAGGCGGCTACCGTGATCAGGACCACAAGCCATCCAATTTGGAGATAGAACAGGGAAAACTTGTTCAAGGCAGGGATGACTCGGTTACCGAACATGACCACGCTGGCCGTGATCAGGTTGAGCCCCTGATACACGACAAACGTCTGCCAGGTTTGGATCTCGAAGTTCTCGTGGTAGAGTGCAATCAGCGCCATGAAGATCTGGGCGTAGATGATGTTCGTGGAAGCAGTTGTAAAAATCCCTAAGATGTGTCAGTGACTCTGTAGCCACCTTGATTATCGGGTGGGTTCATACAGCCAAGGACACTGAACCAGCCAGTGAAGAAGCTCAAAGGACCGGTGGCCTTCCTTGGCGCCACAGCCGCAATCCAGTGATACATGCCTCCCTCGGTAGGATATGAAGACACGAACTCAGCCAGCGAGGCACCAAGGAAGCATTGCAAAGTCGTCACGAGGATGAAGCCGTAGATGACGGCCCCAGGGCCACCAGCACCAATTTCGGTGATGAGCCCCAAGCCTAGTCCCGTCCAAGAGATGGTTGTGGTGGAAGCAAGCCCGACCAAGCTTAGAGTACTGAAATGGCGTTTGAGCTCTTGCGTGTGACCTTTGACTCAGTTAGCCCTAGGGAACGGACTCGATGGTGATTCTGCCATGAATGCCCTGTTGGATTAGGTATGCACTTACCCATCTGCGCGAGCCGGAGCTCGTCAGCGTTGACAATCTCCTTTGTACCGGAGACTTCCATGCTCCTCTTGGAGCTAGGCGCCGTGTTGATGTTGCCTTCGGGGAAACTCATCTTGAACTTTGCGTAGGAGAGGTGTGTAACGCTGGGTTTGAATCGGTGGTGTCTTCCAGCGATGGATGAAAGGGCCGAATGGGAAGAGTTATACTCCACGCCGAGTCAATGAATGAACAGCGACATTCATCAAGTTGTTCGACAATTTGCCGGTTCGCCGACCGGGTCTTCGGCACCCTTAGCTTATCGTCGCGTGAGCTCGCCCACCAAGATAATGAGGTAGGTCGACGCTATGGTGGATACGCATCCACTGCACCCCAGACCCCTATCGCAGGTGAATGGGGAAGGGCAGGATAACACGCGACTTGACACCTGAAGGAGCAACCGGCAAACCCGGTCCGGTCTGATAGCTGCTGTATCGCCAAATGACACGATGCGGGGGAGAAACAGGTCTGTGGCTCTGTGCCCCCAATTGCCACACATTCAATACCCTGATTCCTGAATAGGTTTCCCCATGAGCACTAGTCATCGCCATGACCCTGACGCGGGGTACGGCTGTGCGTGTTTCGCATGAGAAAAGGCGTTGCTGGCAGTTGAGGCGTGCGCGCTGCCTTGAGCAGACACCAAGGCAATGACAACATGAAGTCGCGAAACAACCACTTTCGACTGGTTTTAGCTTTGTTATTGAATCATGGGGAATCTTGTGTGTATTATTTCGCATTATGGCTTTCTAGATGCCCACGCAATCAACGCCGCACCCACACCACTTCCATCGGGCGCAGTGCCCATCTGTATCCTCTCTTCACCAAGGGGCCCTATGGCTGGAATCTCTCTCAGTGCAGTTCGAATATGGCCCTCAAATCCAGGGAAGAATTCGAACAGCGAACCGTCAACTCCAATGTCAATAATGTCCATCTCTTGAGAGACATACTCTTTGCCTTTGTCGCTGTTGTAGCTTAGATCTGACGACGCCTCTTGACTTACGGAGTCGGACTTGACCCTCTCAGGGTGGAAGGAATGATGAACGCAGCTCACGAAAGCGCCGAGAGCCATCCGGCAATCTGACCAAAGCCGCACCAAAAATGAGGGCCGCGTTAGCACCATCCGCTGAGAAGCTCCCATCATGAGCGTAGTACTGCCGAGTCGTCCTGACTGGACTACGACGCCAGCAATGGCAATCGCTGAGAGTCTCGCCGCCCTCCTTCCTATGGCTTCAGCTATGACTTGCAATGCCGCGGCATCAGACACAGACACCTGTCTGACGCTGAGAACCTTGCTGATCTCTTCCCGAGCGCGTTCAAGGGTAGGGCTTTGGTCCCCAATAATAACGGACAGAAACGAGCTGTCGATAGAGTAAGGTATGTGCAGCCGCGAATGTGATTGAGCAGACAAGCTGAAACAAGGCGTGGGGGATTGCATCTCCGCTAAGATGACTCGCCGGAGCAGCTCGCCCAGGTAGAGTCCAGAGATGCGCTTCTCGTAGTGCTGGTCTCTTGGATTGACAGAGGCTCGGTCGAGTGTCTCGTCGTATTTGGTGGTCGGCAAAACGGACAACTCCTTGTCAAAACCACCCCATTCCGTGTTGAGCACCATGAACGCGGCCTGTCCAGGGTCCGCGAACCCAGGCTGCGAATGCAACTTTTTTATGTTGGTCATCTTTTCGACATAGGCACCGTTGGTCCCTGTGCCAAATATTGCACCAAGCAAGGTCTCTGAGCGACCGGGCGAGGCATAGGCTCGCGCCGCCAGTGTCCCTACTGTATCATTGACGAGGGCCGTCACCAGAAGGGGCAAATGTAGCTCATCAAGCGCTTCTTGGAGCATGGCGCAAGGATCGCGGCCAACGGCGTCATCGATGTTGAACGCCTTTGTCCAGTACATCAGCCTGCCCTTGTCAATGGCATGCTGGTCGAATGTGAAGCTGAAAGTGAAGCCCAAAGGATGGAGACGTTGTCGACGGAGCTCGTCGGTGACCTGGCCATCCTTGACAATACGTCGCCACGAGTCCAGGGTACCCGGCATGTGCTCCTCCATGAAAGCTTCTGTATGTCTTGCAATGAAGCCAAACAGGTCTCTGTATGTCTTTGCTGTCATCAATGCCGCTGGCACTGCTGCCTTGGACTGAGTGAGAGTGTGAGTAGAGTCGCCGTGCAGTTCGACGGAGCAAACTCGCAAGTTGGTTCCCCCCAAATCAATCGCCAGACATACGCCCTTCTCTGTGCCATTAGGAAGGTTGGTCACGTAGGACGGGACTTGCAGCAGAGTTGTTCCATCGGCTAGCAGGCCCTCACCTGCAGAAATGGTCAGGTTACCGCTGCATTGCGAGTATGACGAACGGACTGACTTACTGAGCTGTTTGACGAAGTGGCCAGTGCCTGTTTCGATAGTCTCAGATGATACATGGAATTCCCTGGCGACTGCTTTGGCTCTGTCCATGGGATCCAAGTGCTCCAGGGAATCGGCCCTGGACTGAAGCTTGGCGATAGACATGATAGTGTGCCGCAAAATGAAAGCGGCCAGCAGCCACGCAATGACCTGGTCGCGCTTTGGAGGATGACTTATCGAGATGTTTGCACCACACCATAGTCTCCCTTCAAGCCCCGGCAATAACTTCTATCTTGCTATGCGTCCGACGATTGACTTCGTTTACTGACCTACAGTCCTTCTCCTTCCTACCTAGGCAAATTGTCCGGCAAACCCGGCCCGGATCGGCGATAGTTCGAGCCCTAGCTTCGGCCAATGATGACCCGATGTGGCCTCACTATCGGCCCCGCGAGTCAGCCTTATCAAAGGCCACTGGTCATTCTCCCCTAAAAGGCCGGACGACCCGGCGAACCGGCAAGAAAGAAGTCTTCCCTGGAGATTACCGGCCACTCCCCCACATCCTTCGACACGCGACCAGCACCACCATACTGAGCCATGGCATCTCTGCCCCAGCGAACCGGCGATCAGGATGCGTCTACACTGAGACCTGCTTTGGAGGCACAAGTCTCGGCAAAGGCCCGGAAAGCTTGCGGTGAGACCACCCGGGGTTTACTCCATTCCGGAGCGGTAACAGGTCCAGAGTCCAGACACTGACAGTGAGGCCCACCAGTCAACTGCCGACGTCAGAAGGTCTGCTTGAAGATGCAGAGGCGCTCATCATATTTAATTAACCTGACCGAAATTGCGTAGATGAAATGCAGGATCGATCAGGGCCCGTCATGCCGAAGGTGTTTGAGAACTGGGGCGCCATGCGTGTTTGTACCTCGAGCCAATGTACGAACCCCCCTGGCCCGGATGATATAACCGAATGCCTCCGTCGAGATGTAACAACTGATAAATAACACTGGACCGTAGGCTGCTGCGTACACGGAAGGCCACACACCTGGCGACAGCTGCCACCGAGCTGAAAGGCTGCCGCATTTGAGCGAGGCCATCTTTCGCCGGTTGCAGAGACTTGAGCACCATGTTGGGTTAACAGCCTTCGAGGATAACGGACCCTCAGCCGAAGCGCATGACGGAACCATGTTCGAAAGCCCGGAGACTGAAGACTCCTCCCTTCGGCCCTTGTGGCCTGCCATACAGGTATTGAAGCACAGCTGCTCTACCGGCACTGGGTCGACATTGTGGGAAGAACGCCTTGTCAAGCAACTGTGGCTCAGGTATGCAACATTCCATCAGAAGGAGTCACTTTTCCCATGCTGACTGTGACTTCACTTACGTGTAGTTTCCACGACACCATGCTTGGGCTGCACTTTCTCCCCAGCAAACAAACATTCTCATCGCCAACCCCGCTGATGTTGGCAGCGATGCTGTACTGCTCGAGCATGAGAGGCTCGGAGCATGTAGTTGTGCATGCTTCCGAGTACTTCACTGTCCTGTGTAACGCAATCTCGCAGCTATGTATGCCCGCCAGCGAGATAGGAAAGGTGCCAAAGGACCCGGGGGCAGCCGAGGAGTGGGCTTTCCAGACGATCCTCGGCATCATCCTTGCCGGTCTTCTTCGGGAGGGCGTCATCAAGGAGACGGGGATATGGATCTCTGTCGCCTACCGGCTGATCCTTGAGCACTGCCCGCCACACATAGATGAGAGATCGCTAGAGTGGCAAAGGCTCTTCACTGGCCTTCAAGTAAGTCTGAGCGGAATTCCTGTTATGTCTCGTGAAAGCAAGGATGCCTGACCAGCCGCACAGATTGTCGATCTAGAGCACGCCTCAATTCACCTCTCGTGCCCCGTGATTCCTATAGAGGCACCCTTTCCTCGTCTCCGCATCTCGCAGCAGGATCAGCTTTACAGGCTGTCGCGCATGATGCACACGGGTCTCACACACTTCACGGGACGCAGGCTCCCGACTATCTGGGCATCCTTCACCAGCGACCACCCCGTCACGTCCGATTCTACCACGTTCAGCGGCGTTGACGCGGCTGTCATCCGGGATTGGGCCCGGCAGCTCGACGACTGGCTGGTAGAGTTTGGCGCGCGCAATGAGGAGGCAAGCGACCAAAGCAACCTGACGTTCCGGCAGTACGTGCTACACCGCGTTCTAGTCCTCTCCATATATCTTCCAGCCCGTGGCAGCGATCTCTTCTCCAATACGACGCCCAAGGAGCAGCACGAGCTTCTTGTTTCGGCCCGCGCAGCTGTCCGGCTTCAACTCCTGGACACATCCATCTGGTCCAATTTTGACCTCATAATTATCACGTGGGCGGCACTAATAGTCATCCAAGGCGTTGACGGTGGAGTGGGGGAGCCTGACGGTAAGACATGACCACCTTGATGTTAGAGTCTAGCTAACTTTGGTGTGATAGATCTAGAGCACGTCAGGGTCCATCTAGGGCGGCTTCAGGAAGCCCATGAGCACAGCTGCAATCTTCACGGACTCCTGGCGAATCGTCTGGAAACGAAGCTTCAGGGACTCACAACCCCGCAGTTTGGCGACGCCATGAGCTTCGAGCCAGATGGTACTTTTGACACGTCTTGGTACATATTCAATCAGTCGAGTCTAGATGTGGGCTTGGACATGTCCTTCTTGGACGGAACAATGCAACACACAGCCATGTCCTGAATACAATCCATAACTCAATTCGCCCGAACTATCTCAAAGTACGCCCCCATGTGCCAGTCTTCGACGTTGCAGGATAATAAAAAGAGAAAAAGTCGACTTGCCGCGTCCAACTTATGGTTACGGTCCCGCCCAACTATGTCTGGGGCCATGGCCCTATGCGCGACGACATACTGTCAGGAGTAAGCTCGACGACATGATCGTCCGCCCCGGTTGGACCCGATGACTTGAGGTCTGGAGTCCGAGGTGGGCTAGCGAGCGACCATGTCCGGAGCTTCAAGGGAAGCTTCTGCTCAAAGCCCCGTCCAAGGCCAACTTTCTCGATACTCTTGAAATACTGGAACAAACAACGGTCAGCTACGGGGACATGATACTGCATATGCCGTCTTACCTTGACAGTCTTGACCTGTAGCTCCAGTGAAGCGTCTTCGTCTGCGACAATCATGGAATAGGGGTGAAGTTGAAGGCAGGAGAGGGTCCACATGTGATTGACGCCGCCCTCGACAGTCTTTTGCAATGCCACAGCCTTGGAGGCACCGTTGGCGATAATCACAACTTCCTTGGCCTGCACAATATTAGCGTCGGTTTGTCGTCGACATGAGACGGCGGCTGTGTGGTAACGAACCTCCATAACTGTCTGCACACCCACCGTCAGCGCCATCTGAGGCACCTTAGAGACATCACCGCCAAAAAAGCGCGCATTGGCGCGAATCGTGTCCATAGCCAGTGTCTTGACCCTTGTACGAGATGCCAGACTGGACCCAGGCTCATTGAAGGCGATGTGTCCGTCAGGGCCTACGCCGCCCAAAAAGAGCTCGATGCCGCCGGCTGCCTTGATCTTGGCTTCGTACTGTGTACATTCCTCGTCAAGATTTGGTGCATTGCCGTCGAGAATGTGCAAATTCTCGGGTTTGATATTCACATGTGAGAAGAAATGTTTGAACATGAAGCTGTGGTATGATTGAGGATGATTTTGGGGAATGCCAATGTACTCATCCTAGTTGACGTCGCAATTAGCATTTAAGGACGATAGCTATTCTTCTCAGGACCCACCATGTTAAATGTAATGACATTCTCAAACGAGATGCGACCGGCTTTGTATTCTGAGGCCAGGATCTCATACACTGCGGTTGGGCTACTTCCTGTCGGGAGCCCAAGTACGAACGGCTTTTCTAGGGTAGGCTCGAACGTGCGAATACGATCTGAGCGTTATTAGACACTGATAGAGGTCTCAATTGGTATAGAAGGGGAAGGAAGCATCATGGAACCATACCCAGGATATAGCCCGCCACGTATGCACAAGAGGACTTGTCGTCCGGTCTGATAATGAGTCTCATTCTGCTGGGGAAGTCTTTGCGGTGACTGGATAAGTTGGATAAGCCAGGTCTTCTAATCCTGGATGTCAATGTCGGAGCTTACAGAAAGCCAAATTCAAAAGGAACTGCCGCTGCTCCTGCGCCTCTCTCTAATAAGCATGTTGATTTACTGTCCGTAGGGTAGTGTTGAGCCTCTAGTCCCCTAGACGGCCCAGGCGCTCTCTGTAATTCCCGTGTTTACCGGGTTTCGCCGGTCCCGCTTCGCCGTTATACCCGCCGCCGCACCCGGCGGAGGACCGGGGTTGTGTGACCATGTGACGGAGATAGGGCGGCGCTGGCTGCTGTCTATCTTCTACTACGTAGATCCAACTTCAGCAGCTTAATTTCACTCAAGCGAGGCGCAGCCAACCAACTTCAACGGTTCAACCTGCTCTAGTATGCGTCGAAGAAGGGCCGTGTCGCCCTTGTTAAGACAGCGCGGCGACAACCAATCGGGATCTCAATCAATATCTCCGAGGCGTGGCAATGGCAAGCCATAACTGCGGCTTGGCGATACTAACCCCATCTTAAGTATGTTATTAGCGACGGCGTTAGTCGATGCGAAGCGGGGAGAGTGGTGCTATATTTTCTAACCAAGACATGATCCAGTCTTCAAGGAATCTATGCTTTGTAAGAACGCCAAAGTAAAGGTATCAATCAGCAGCTGGTTAAATTGTGATGCCGTTAACGAGGTTACATGCCGTGCGATCTTCCGAATAACTGTCTCGAGGCTACACACTCTTTAGATTCTAGGAATACAGTACCTCGAAGCCTCCTATCCCAGTCCCTCGACTGCGGCTGTTGCGGCTGCGTCACTCTCGCAGTCAGCTTTCCTAAAAAGAGAGTTGTCATGGGAAATTTGTAGATGAAGAACAGACAGAGCCACTGTCGACACTTCAACTTGGCCATCGGTCTCTAGATCTAAGACGTGCCCACCCCTGCTTCGATCGTCCGAAATTAAATGGAGATGATCACCCCACGGTGACTCCATTCATGTATCCCGGGGACCGAAAGCCAACAACGGTGCCTCTGAAAGACCCGGCAAGCGTGCGGATTGCCTGGCGTTTTCCCACCTCTCCCAATCCTTCGCCGGGAAACTTCTGCCCTTCCAAGATCCGGAACGGAAGCAGCCGACAATCTTGATGGCCAAGTGAAGATTATTGGCTGCTGAATGAAACATGTCCAGCTTCTGGGATAGTTGCGGTCTCCATCGTCATCAGTAGGACGGCGGCGGTTGGTCTCGAAGACCCCGAACTGTTGTACTCAAAGAACAAGGTCCTGTACACTGCTTGTCGCTCCCTGGCGAGTCCATTGAGTCGATCTCATCACCGAAAATTCCGATGGGACGTGTCAGCTCAAATGTAAGGTAAGTATTACAGTCTGGTCTGTTTGAGCGACTTGCTTCCCGTCCTCAATCCTTTCAATCTGCTCGCCATGGCCCAATTCCTCGCCCGCAGCTCTCTCCTTCTCGTTGAAGACCTGATCTTGCCTCTCGGCATCCCTGTTCCCATAGAGGCCAATCTTATACCACGGCAGGTCAAACAGCCGATCCATGCTCTCGAGGCTTCGGCCGCCAGTCTCAGGAACAGAGAAGCAAACCCAGATTCCACCAAAAGTTGTGACCGCAGCAAAGCACCAAAAGGTTCCGCTAGGAGAGATTCCGCCTTTCGCAAGGGGCAGCAGCATGTTCGGGACTGCACGGGTATTTCCGTACTGCGCTGCAAAGTGAAGACCCATGACCCACGACGTAGCGAGGGCGCGAATGCGCAGAGGAAATAGCTCCGCCGTCAGGATATACGCCATGGTATTCCAGCCAAGGGCCCAGCCGACTCCGGAGATATAGATCATAGCAATAGCACCACGACTGGCGGCAAGCTTGGAAGCGGGTAGGATAAATCCATCGACGACCCCAAGTTCTGGCACAGCTGTTAGGAACGATGCCACGTAGATCATGGCAATGGCTTGGAGCGCAATACCAAGTATCAGGGCCTTCTTGCGTCCAATAAAGTCGACCAAGAAGAGAGCGCAGCAAACAGCCGAGCAGAGCTTGACAATGCCGAACACAGCGGTTACCAAGAGCCCTTCGGAACTGCCACTGATACCAAGGATCTCAAAGAGATCAGGCGCGTACAGGGTGATTGAGCCTGCGCCAGACCACTGCGCCAAGATCTGCACAGCAGTAGACATGTAGAGACGATAGAGGTTGCTCTTGTTGCAGAAAAGTTCCTTGAGCTTTCCGGTCCAGCCAATGCCCTCGGTGGCCTCGAGCTCGTGTTCGTGGCTGACTTGAATCTCGTTGATGCTCAGGATGATATAATCACTGTCGACAGGTTGCTGGCGCAGCCGAGCCATGACCTGGGCAGCCGCCTCACGTTTTCCTTGCTTGATGAGATAACGGGGGCTCTCCACCTGGAAGAAGGTGAGGGAGCAGAGAACGCCAGAGAACATGATGTGTAGGCTGGTAGGGACAAGCCACTGGTTGTGATCTGTGCTGGCGATGTGCAAGTGGCACCCGTAGTTGGTGAAGTATGCGAGTACGATGCCGAGATAGACGGCGCCAGAGAAGAAGCAGGTGCAGAGACCACGAACTGAGGCGGGTGCGATTTCAGCAATGTAGACTGGGCCGATGACTGAAGCCTGTCCGATGCCGAGGCCAGCAACGAAACGGCCGGCATAGATGGCGCCTAGGTTACCGGCAACACCGCCAACCATAAATATGGCGATGCCAATGGCCCAGAGGGTGCACAGGACGCGGACTCCCCAGATACGACCGATTCGATCACAAATCATGAAAGCACTGGCACAAACACACGTTAGTAAAGTTCACTGGTACTGTTTGTGTCTTGATGTGAACCAGAGCGAGGATAACACGCCGTGGAGGCAGGTCAGACTTACATCAATGCACCGCCCACAGAGCCGATCTGTACCATTGCTGAAACGTTTGCCTTGATGTTCGCCCTCTCCTTGAGAGTGTATGAGTCGTAGTTGATGGCATCCTGGAAGTCCAAGGAGTTGAAGGCGCCACTGATGAGACCTTCGTCAATGCCTCGGGCTGCACCCAGCAGACCAAAGGACACAACAGCGAACCAGAGCCGCCAGTTGAAGACGCCTGCAGGCTCCCCGGTGTGTTCGAGGTTGAACACGTTGACGGGCTTCTTGACACCGCCTGCCATTTTGAAGTCGAGCGACGGAGTTCGTGGTTGGATGGTTTTTGCGGTGTTTGTCTCCCGTGCTAACGACGACGTGACAGTGCCAAAGGATATCGCCTGAATGTGAAAACAAAGTCTGTGAACGTGGTATGTCGTAGTAGACAAAGAAGGTAATAGGAGACTGATGCTGGTGCCCGATAGCCCGAGCAAAGGGTTCCGAGGGAGAAGGGCGCGTCAATGGTTATATTTATTCTTTGCAGTGGTGACAGAGAGTCAGAGACTGTCAGTGATGGGATTCCCAAGTCCCCAACCCCATAACTTCCCCACGTCGACGGGAACGAAGTTTGAGGGGATCTTTGGAGAAGGGATCAAAGAACACTGGGGTCTGTACACTACGCACGCTACGAAATCGCTCTCGCTGGACGACAGTCTGCTGTGCCGGTTATCCGAGACAATGAGTCGTCATCTGCTACTAAACTTAAATCTTGATCTTGGCGTCCTTGAATTTATTATTTTTCCCCCAACTTCTGCCCTGGTTCCCCACGAACATGCACGAAGTCGATGGGGTCGGCTGATCAATTGGGGAAGATGCAGGGTGAGTATTGCTCCAAAGAAAAAGCCAAAAAGGTGGACTATTAACGCTCCCGTGGACGCGTTCAAAACCGTCAGCAGTCGCCTTCGCTTCCCTGACTTACAGGTCTTGTCGAGTCTCCCCATCCTGCGGTGCGTCTTGACTTTCTCCCAAGCCACCCGCTCCCCAAGCTGGCACCAGTTTGCCAAGTCTGCTGCCAGATCTCTGCACAATCTGCCGGCTTCGATATGCCGTCTTGGCCACGGGTTTGTAGCTCTTTCGCTGCGAGGTGATTGAGGTCCCCACGTGGATTACCGGGCCCTGACCTAGAGCTGTTCCCGCGGGATCGACTACTACTGCGCGAGTGGCGCACGGTCAGGCTCTAGAGCGTATTCCCGCGAGTGATGACAAACTCCCGCGGGACATTAGTTGACTTGTTCAGTAAAGTCGCTCACGAGATTGTTTTTCCCTCATATCAGTGCGTTGGGTGCCGTTTACTACTCTATCTCTCTAGATTCTCGTTATATTCTTCCTTCTTCTTGGATCCAACCGCCGTCTTCCCCATCTATATCGTGTCTGTTTTCGCAACATCACTGCGAAGAGTCGACTTTGGTTAACCTGGACCAGCTCTTCATCTTGCTCGAGGTTTGATTAGCCGCTCGTGACGAGGGCATGGAGCAGCTAGACAAGCTGCGTGCTCTGGGGAGCTCATGACAATACCGTTATTCATCCGACACTTTACACATCCCTACATGAGCGCTTGTATGATTGTCACCCATCAACCTAACACACAATGCGGCATGCACAATAAAAGTCATAGTGCACATTATTAACATGGATCGATGCGAAAGGGAACAATTGTCTTGTCATTATGTTCCAACCAAATTCACAAGCAGTCCTCGCAAAGAACAAAGCAAGCCACCATGCCAGCGTAAGGCGTTTGAGAACAGAAGCCCACGTCTAGCTAGTAGTGCGCTTGTTCTCGCCCACAGTAATCTCCTCAACCTGCTCGTCGAGGCCAAAGGTGTCGGCGGACTTGTCCGAGGGGGCGGCAAACTCGAAGACTAAAGGACGTTAGTAGGTGATCTGGGGCAATGGGTCCGAGGAGTTTTGACTCACGATCGACGGGTGTGGTGGCGAACTTGCGGGCGGGCGTCTTCTTCTTGAACAGATAATCAATCTCGGCAAAGGTACGCTCCTTGGTCTCGGGAAGGAAGAAGAAGCTCCAGAGGACCCAGAGGAAGCAGAAACCAAAGTAGAACATGCCTGTCTTAGCACCCCAGTTCCAGGCGGTCGAGTCGGAGTTGAGCATGCGGGGGTTGATCTGCTGCACGATGAAACCGCAGCACACATACAGACCACGGCCAAGCACAATAGTCTGGGCGCGAACGCGGGACGACGACATCTCGCCAACGATGACATAGGTGGTGGGGCCCAACGAGACCTTGAAGACGCACTGCACGATGATAAGGAAGGCGGCCACGGGGACAGCATGGACCTCCTTGGGCGTCGCGAAGCCCAGAATTCCAATGACCAGCATACAGGCGCCGATACCACCAGAGCCGAACAGGTAAAAGGTACGGCGGCCGACCTTACCCATGAGAGCAATGGCGATACCCGTGGCAAGAATATTGACGGATTGGATACCCATGTTGTAGTTGAAGGCGTCGTCGGTGCTCATGCCAACAGCCTTGAGCATGAGGGCGGCATACTGTGTGATGGACTGGCCGTTGAACATCTGGACGACCCAAGCCATACAAACAATGAGCGTACGTCTCTTGTTCTCTCCGTTAAAGCAGTCCTTGTACGAGGCGTTGGCGGCTTCGAGCCTTTCCATCTCGTTCGTATGCTTCATAAGGGCAATCGTCTCAGCCATCGACTCCTCGGTGTAGTGGCCCTTGCGGGCGAGACGGCGGAGAGACTTTTCGGCTTGGTCGACCTTGCCGCGGCGAATAAGGTACCATGGCGATTCGGGGGCGAAAAAGCCAACGAGCAGCAAAGGAGGCACCCAAACCCACTGCAGGCCATAGGGCAGACGCCAGCCGGCATCACCTTGCAGGTTCAACGAGCCACGGAGGACACCAGTAGCCAGGAAGGAACCAGCACCCCAGCACATGGATACCCAAGCGGTCAGATACCCACGCATGGCGGCAGGACAGATCTCGGCGGCATAGGCGGTCGACAGGGTTTGGAACATGCCCCAGGGAATACCGCAGATAATGTTACCGGCCAGGAGCATCTCGACGTTCTGGGAGAAGAAGAGGATGAAGATAGCAGAGCCCATGGCAACCATGCCACCCTAGAAAGTTCAAAGTCAGCCAGCCGTCTTGCTAGCATCGCGCGTTGCAGCACGTGGACACTTACCATGTAGACCCTGCGAGAACCGAAGCGGCTCTGGAGGTAGCCGTTCAGAAGCAGACCGATGAGAGAGCCAACGTTATTACCGGCACCGATGGCACTCTGCCAGGTGGTCGAGATGTGCATCTTGCCCTCGGAATCGGGCCAACCGAACTTTTGCAGGTAGTTGGGGTGGGCGAAGAAGTTGTTGATGAGACCGACATCCATGCCCTCCATGACGAGGGCGAGGGAGAGCAAGGTAGAGAAGATGGCGGCAGGCAGGTAGCGCCTAAAGAGCTCCTTGCGAGGAAGACGAGCTTCGGCCTCAGCTGCGGCCACGGCAGCCTCGACGAGGTCATGCTGCGACCTGTGGACGCCGTTCCCCGTGATGGACGGGCGGGGGCCAGCCTCGACCTTGGCCGGGTCCTGGACAGCGGCCATGGTGGTGGATGATAAGAGGATGGAAGATGACGGACGGACAGACGGGCTGGACGACTGTGAAGGGGTCTGAGGCAACAAGACGGCGACGCTGAGCGACTTGTCAGTGTCGGTGAGGAGAGAAGAAAAGGAAGCAAAAAGGGCGAGATAGGGATGGGAATTCGCGCAAGATATGTACCGCGAGAAAGGGGGGCCAAGGCCCATTTCCATCATGCAAGCTGGAGGCCCCAGATCCCGGATTGGGGTTGCCTGGGGCCCCAGGTTCACGTCCCAAGATGCAACCCAAGTGCCCTTCTCCCCATGCTCGTGCCATGGCCCATGACCCTGCCGAAGCAATGAACCCCGGACTACGTCGGCCGGACTTAGCCCGAGCCTTGTTCAGGACTCAGGAGTCAGGACGCCACTGCTCGCTTGATTGAGGGCAGGGCATCCCAATCACGGGGATTCCAATCGGCTACGACGCGTGGGGTAATTCTTCCCCGCGCCGAAATGCCAATGGGGGGCCGGGGCTCCCAGAGGGGGTTCAGAAATAGAGACCGTGAGGCTCGGCTCGAGTCCACGTGCGAGTCAGTCGAGCGTCTCGTTCCTCGCTAGAGTAAACAGCGGCGAGAGGCTGGGCGCCAAGGGCGTTGACAGGGACCCTTGGCCACTGTCACGGGGACAAGGCTCGCCGACGACTACTGCATTCGTGCAGGCGAGGGATTCCAGAATCCAGCCGCTTGTTGAATTACCAGAAACGGCAACCTATCGGAGGCTCGCCGGCGCGGTTCGCCGACCGACATGCGTCCTTGTGCGGCGAAACCGGCGGCGGTGAACGAGGCGCGTCGTCTCCAAGAGTCCAAGAGTCCAAGAGTCCAAGGCTAAGCGCGGTAAGCTCTGGTAACCTCCTCCGACGAGACTGGACACTTGAGTTGCTGACCTCAATCGTGCGTCTCCCGCTTCAATTCCAGTCTTCTTTCCTTTCACCTCCTCACTCCCCCCCCTCACTCTCTACCCCAACCGTCTCTAAGGCCAGTAGATTCAAGCCACCATGTGCTCTCACGGATCTAACCACCATGGCCTCGGCCACGACCAGGCTGTCGCGACAACAGCGCAGCCCTACCCTCTCCGCGCGCCTGTCCCCGTCGGCAAGAAGATCACCTCCCTCTACAAGAAGCGCCTCGTCAACTTCTTCACACCTGGCCAGTGGGAGAAGGTCAACCTCATGGCCGCCCAGAGCGACGTCAAGTTTGGTGGCGCGCCCCATGTCCAGCTCCAGGTCTGGGACGCCCCGGACACCTCGCGCCCGTCCTTTGCAGAAGCCACAGCCGAATCCAACACGTACCGCGAGGCACGAGTAGGCGAGTCCTTCGGCCCCTCGTGGACGACGCATTGGTTCCGCTGCACGCTCACGCTGCCAGAGGCCCTCCAAGCAGACGACGCACACGTCGAGCTGCATTGGGACTGCAGCAACGAGGCCACCGTGTGGACAGCGCAAGGCGAACCGTTGCAGGGCCTCACAGGTCGCGGCGAACGCGTCGAGTGGGTTGTCCCGGCTTCCTTCAAGGACGGCAAGGGGCACACCATCTACCTCGAGATGGCCTGCAATGGCATGTTTGGCAACGGTCCCGGGCGGCCCATCTTCAAGAACAACGCAGGCGGCGACTCAATCCAACCTCCCGACAACGACAAGTACTTCAAGCTCGCCCAGGCAGAGCTCGTGGCCGTCAATCTGCCCGCGCGCATGCTGCTCATCGAGTTTAGCATCATCCACGATGCCGCGACAGAGCTCCCCGAGGACACATGGGAGCAGCACGAGGCGCTGAACGTGGCCAGCCGCATCATCGACGCCTTCAAGGTGGGCGATGATGCGTCCTTGACCAAGTGCCGCCAGATTGCCGCAGAGTACCTCGGAGACCAGGTCGACTCGGCTGCCGTCTACGAGACAGCCCTCGACCGCCGTCCGACCGTCTACGCCATCGGTCACTGCCACATTGACACGTGTTGGCTGTGGCCCTGGGCCGAGACCAAGCGCAAGGTCGTCCGTTCGTGGTCGAACCAGTGCGACCTGATGGACCGCTACCCAGAGCTCAACTTTGCCTGTTCGCAGGCTCAGCAGGTGCGCCTCCCTCCGCTCACCTCAACTCATAGTGGCCATTCTCACCTCGTGGCAACCAACTAACTGAGCTGGCTGCAGTTCAAATGGCTCAAGGAGATCTACCCCTACGGCTGGCAGCGCGTCAAGGAGAAGATCAAGTCGGGCCAGTTCCACCCCATTGGCGGCTCCTGGGTCGAGCACGACACCAACCTGCCCTGTGGAGAGTCACTCGTTCGCCAGTTCTTGTACGGACAGCGCTTCTTCGAGGCCGAGTTTGGCTTCCGCTCTACGACGTCTTGGCTCCCTGACACCTTTGGCTTCTCCTGCCAGATCCCCCAGATTTGCCGGCTGGCCGGCATGACACGGTTTATGACGCAGAAGCCCTGCTTTAACAGTGTCAATGAGTTTCCTCATACAACCTTTAACTGGTGAGTCCCTACTGCTCGCGTCGATCTGTTCACTTGGACTCACAAGACATCCCACAGGGTCGCCCTCGATGGTAGCCAGGTTCTCACCCACATGCCCCCCTGCAAAACCTACACAGCCGAGGGCAATCTAGGCGACATCACCAGGAGCATCTCCAACCACAAGTCCCTGGACCAGGACAACACCGCACTCATGGCCGTAAGTCAACATTAGCTCTCTGGCTTGGTCTTGCTCCCTCTGACATCTTCTAGTTTGGCAAAGGCGATGGTGGTGGCGGCCCGACCTGGCAGCACCTCGAGAAGCTCAGGCGCCTCCGTGGCATGGCCGATACGGTAGGTGTCATTCCCCGCGTCCACTCTGGCGCGACCGTCGACCAATTCTTCGACCGCCTCGAGGCGAAGTCCTCGAGTCTCGTCACCTGGTTCGGCGAGCTCTACTTTGAATTGCACCGCGGTGTCTACACCACGCAAGCCCGCACCAAGCTGCAGAACCGCAAGGCCGAGATCTTCCTCCATGATATTGAGCTTCTGGCGACAATCGCCTCGATCCACGACAGCAACTACCAGTACCCCAAGAAGGAGCTCGACGAAATCTGGCAGGGCATCATGCTGTGTCAATTCCATGACTGCCTCCCTGGCACGGCCATTGAGATGTGTTACGACGATTCGGACAAGATCTACGCCAAAGCCACAGCAACAGGCCAGGTCCTCCTCGCCAACGTCCTGGCTGCCCTTGGCCTCAAGCAGTCCGACGTGGCCAACCTCAAACTTGACGAAGCCACTGCTATAAACACCCTCCCCTGGCCGAGGAGGGTGCTCATTGAAGTCTCGGACGGCAAAGCCGTCGTGGCCTCTGGCGAGGGTCACGCCCTATCCGTCAGCTCGTTCGAGGCTTCGTCCGAGACTAAGGCTGTCACCATCAAAGAGACGTCGGATGGCGTCTTCCAGCTCGAGAACGACCATCTCACCGTCAAGGTGGAAAATGGCGTCATCTCGTCCGTATATGACCGTCGTGCCAAGCGCGAGGTCCTCGCCGGCAAGGCGAACCAGTTCGTCATCTTCAACGACATGCCTGTCTATTGGCAGGCTTGGGACGCAGAGGTCTACCACCTCGACACGCGCGAGGAGCTCAACAACACCAAGACGACCATCCATGAGGACAAGGGCTACCGCGCGAGCCTCGTGACAGAGACGCACATCAGCGAACACAGCTCTGTGCGGACGACCATCTCGCTCAGTGCAGCGCTCAGCGACGATCAACCGTCCCTGATTGAGTGCGAGGCCGACGTAGACTGGCACGAAACCATGAAGTTCCTCAAGGTCGAGTTCCCCGTCCAGGTGCGCAACACCGAGGCGTCGTACGAGACGCAGTACGGCGTCATCAAACGCCCCACGCACTACAACACGAGCTGGGACATGGCCAAGTTCGAGGTGTGCTGCCACAAGTTCGCGGACCTGTCCGAGCACAATTATGGCGTGTCCATCCTCAACGACAGCAAGTACGGCTTCGCGACTGTCGGCAACGTCATGCGCCTCTCGCTGCTGCGATCCCCCAAGGCGCCCGATGGCAACGCCGACATGGGACGCCACCGCATCCGCTGGGCCATCATGCCGCACAGCGGTGGCCTCGGCGCAGAGACTGTCCGGACCGCGTTCAACTTCAATCACCCGATGCGCCTCCTCGGGCCCGCTGGCTCTGGCTCGGTGGGTGCGCTGGCCAAGGCCCCTGTCACGCTGACTGGCGACGACAATCTCGTTCTGGACTGGGTTAAGCGAGGCGAGGACGACCAAGACGTGTCGCTGGACGACTTGCCTAAGCGCAAAGGCAAGAGTGTAGTTGTGCGCGTGTACGATGCTGTGGGTGGCCTTTCTCGGGGCACCATCGAGACGACGTTGCCTGTGGCCAAGGTGTTCAAAACAAACATCCTTGAGGATGTCCTGGAAGAAATCGTCGTCGATAGTGGCAGGTTTCAGATTACCCTACACCCGTTCGAGGTCGCCACATATCGTCTAAAATTAGATCAATAGAGGGGGAAATAAATAGAGAAATAGCATGACGATAATTACATAAATCATAAATGTTTATCACGATAAGTATTCGGCATTTATCGCAAACTTATTAACTAGGATATCTGTGCTACTTCGCGTGTAATATTCTATGCCTCAACAATGTTGAAGCGTGTAAGCGACTGTATCTACCGAGTTCGTAAGACCCTTAGTTCAAACGAAAAACGCAGGGTTCACCGTGGAGAAACACCAACATGTGGCGCATTGCTATTCGGTACAAACTACTTAGAGGCAACTTGCACATTTGGTGTCTTGCAGACTGGCTGCACAATGTGCTAACACATCGCGCAAGATGCCTTATGTGTTACATGTAGTTGGGGGAATGTAACTTAACCGCTTACCTTTGAGATCTTCAGCCAAAGCCTTGCTGTTGCTGTAGCTACCTTCCCAGCAAGCTCTGATAATATGGCACAAGCTGCCTAAAGCTGTGATGTCTGGGAACTCTTTGTTCTGATATCGTATCCTGGTTTCGACCTCGCTTAATGAGGAGTATTGCCTTTCTCCAGCTATGAGTTCATACATCGCAGACCCGAATGCAAAGATATCTGCCTGTGTAGATAATAGATCACCCGGGTACTCGTGGCTGACAGTGACAGAAACGAGCAGAGGTGCCGAGTCAATCGACGAATCCGCAAAATCAGCAAGCTTGAGGTTGAGTTTATCATCTAAGAACATGTTGGCCGTCGTGAGATCACCGTGAATAATGCCAGCATCGTGAATAAAGGCGAGAGTGTCGGCAAGCTGAATCATCCAACGGAGGCGCAAGCTTGGGTCCAGAGAGTTCTCTCCTTGAAGAAAAGACCTCAAGTCATGTTTCGAAGCGTATCCGAGACGTAATCCGCCTCCGTCGACACTGCCGTAGTAGGGGAGCAACCCTTCGTGTCCGCCGAGCTCGGTGAGCCTCTCGTAGATCAGCCGTTCTCGATCGATTGATGCGCGAAACTCGTTATCGAATGGCGTTTTAATGACAGTTTGCGTGGCCGCGTCGAGAACAATAAGTCCACTGCTCCCCCATGCTACGACATCCTTGAGCCCAAACCCTGGAGGATACTGAATCTCGTCGAGGGACATGACGGGCGCGGAAGAATCGGTTCTAGGAGGTGCTGGAAATGCCACAGAGCGTGGTGGACGCGTCGGGCCCGCTGACTGGAAATCCTGGTCCTTGGACGGAGCATTAGCAGCCCTTCAATTACACGTCGTGTCAATAAGTATCGGCTCACCGCAGTGCCTCTTACTACTCCGTGGTTGTGGTAGGTCGTCAATAAGTAGATAACGTTAATCTCGCGAAAGAGAAATTGAGTGCTAGCTAGGATAACGCGTCGCGATTCGCGCGGCTCTCGGCCCACTTCTTGTGTCGCGTATTTTATGAGTATTCGCCATAAAAATTATGGTATTGTACGGAGGACGAGTTCAAAAGTTATGCGTTGACGCTAAAGGCGCTAAGTCTGCATGTCGTTTAAATCCAGCTAGCTTTGGTGCAAATCCTACGG